AGATAGTAATTGCCCCGGAGCTGAATGACAGGGGGACATGCCATGAGGACGCGCTGCGGCACGTCCCAAGGGGCGCCCCAGGCGACGCGCCAGGGGACGTGCCACGGGGACGCACCGTGGGACGTGCCAAGGGGGCACGGTGCGTAACGTTAAAACACATGGTCCTTGTTCGGGACAACAATGATAGATATTCCCTTGGGTGGCCCGGACACGTTAAAACACATGGTCCTTGCTCGGGACAGTCATATTAGATACCCCACTGGGTGGCCTGGACACATAAAAACACGGTCTAAGCTCGGGACAACCATGTTAGATATCTTTTCGGGTGGCTTGGACACGTAAAAACACGTGGTTCCAGCTCGGGGCCACCATGTTAGATACCCCCTTGGGTGGCCTGGACAAGGAAAAACACATGGTTCCAGCTCGGGACAACCATGTTGGAGATCCTCTTGGGTGGCCTGGACATGTAAAGACACGTGGCTCCAGCTCGGGACAACCATGTTAGATACCCCCTGCGTGGCCTGGATACGTTGAATCCGTGCTCCTGCTCGAGACATCCTCGCAATGTCTTCCCTGGCGAGGCCCTCAAAGCGCCACTCCCTGTCCAGAGCAAGAAAACATCATTTTAGCATTGGGATAAATGTTCGGGTAGCGCGTTTCGGCCTCCCGTGCGTTTGCTGATACTTCGGCGTTGGGCCCGACGCCATGTTAGATAGCCCCCTGGGCGGCCTGGACACGTAAAAACACGTGGATCCAGTTCGGGACAATCATGTTCGATACCCCATTGGGTGGCCTGGACACGTACAAACACGTGGATCCACATGAAAACAAGCGTCTCACTTGAGATGTCCTCAATAAGTCCTCATGTCAAGCATTTGCCTGGGCGACCTGGACCCGAGAAAGCAAGCGTTTCGCTCGAGCCTCCCCCAACTCTGCAAAACGAGCGCTTCATTCAGTAGATCCTCAACAAATTATGCAAAACAAGCGTTTCGTTCGGGACATCCTCAGAAAAAGATCCGCCAGCCCACCCTTTCCTCGTTATTGATTGATCGCAGAATAATGCCGCCGGCCCACCTCACGTCGGAGCCGGGGGGAAACAAAACATGATCGACCCACGAACCCGGAAAGGAATATGTAAATGTAAGGCGTGGCAGCACTTCAAAGACACCTGATTGGGCGACGGGCACATGCAATGTTGAATGTATCGATTTTAATGTACCGTGCCGAGGGCTGTGTTGCGCTGCGCTGTGGTGAATTGCGATGTGCCATGCCACGATTGTGATCTATGGCGTTGTGGCTCAAGTCTTCCTTTGCATCCGAGTCCTGGCCGAACTGATCTGGATCTCAAACTCGAGCTGCCTTGGCACATAGGAATTGCCCCAGGGCTGATTGGCAGGGGGACATGCCAGGAGGACGCGCTGCGGAACGTCCCAAAGGACGCGCCAGGCGACGTGCCAGGGGTCGCGCCATGGGGACGCACCGCGGGACGTGCCAAGGGGACGCTCTACGAGACTTGCCAATGGACGACGTGCCAGGGGACTCGCCGCGCGACGTGCCAGGGGGACTCGCCACGGGACGCGCCATGGAACGTGCCAGGGAACGTGCCAGGTTGGAATGTTGAGTGTATCGATCTTGTTGTACCGTGCCGAGAGCTGTGCTGTGTTGCGCCGCGTTGAATTGCGATGTGCCATGCCACGATCGTGTTCTATAGCGTTGTGGCTCGAATCCTCCTTTGCATCCGAGTCCTGGCCGAACTGATCTGGATCTCAAGCTCGAGTTGCCTGAGAACATAGTAGCTGCCCCAGAGCAAATTGACAGGGCAACATGCCAGGAGGACGCGCCGCGGAAAATCCCAAAGGACGCGCCAGGCGACGTGCCAGGGAACGTGCCACGGGGACACACCGCGGGACGTGCTAAGGGGACGCGCTACGGAACGTGCTGGGGACAAGCGTTTCGCTCGAGACATCTTGCCCAAATCCTCATGCTAGACATCCGCCCGGGCGGCTTGGGCACGTGCAAACAAGCGTTTCACTCAACACATCATCAACACATCCTCATGCCAGACATCCGCCTGGGCGAACTGGACGCGTGAAAACAAGTGGTTCGCTCGAGACATCCCCAACACATCTTCATGCTGGACATCCGTTCCAGGCCCCCTGGAAGGCCCCAGGGGGGCCCATGTTAGATGCCCTCATAGGTGGCCTGGACACGTTAAAGCACTTGGGTCCGTCATGTTAGATACCCCCTTGGGCGGCCTGGACACGTAAAACCACATGGATCCAATTCGGGACAATTATGGTTGATACCCCCTTGGGTGGCCTGGACACGTGAAACGACGTGGGACCAGCTCTGGGCAACCATGCTATCTACATGTGTGGGTGGCCTGGACACGTAAAAACGCATGGGCCAAGTTCGGGACAACCATGTTAGATATCCTTTTGGGTGGCCTGGACACGTAAAAAACACGTGGTGCCAGCTCCGGACAACATGATGGATACACCTTTGCGTAGCATTGAAACAGTGAAGCACATGGTCTTTGCTCGTGACAATCATGTTAGATACCCCACTGGGTGGCTTGGACACGGGAAAACACGTGGTGCGTGGTTCCAGCGCAGGGCCACCATGTTACATACCCCCCCGGGTGGCCTGGACATGTAAAACACGTGGTACCAGCTCGGGACCACCATGTTAGATACCCTCTTTGGTGGCTTGGACACGTGAAAGCACGTGGTACCAGCTCGGGGCCACCATGTTAGAGATTCGTTTGGGTGGCCTCGACATGCAAAACCACGTTGTTCCAGCTCGGGACAACCATGTTAGATACCCCCCTGCGTGGCCTGGATACGCTGAATTCGCGCGCTCCCGCTCGAGACGTCTTCGCAATGCCTTCCCTGGAGAGGCCCCCAAAGCGCCCTCTCCTGACCAGAGCCAAAAAAAACATGTTTTCTGTATTGGGGTATGTGTTCGGGTAGCGCTTTTCGGCCCCCCGTGCGTTTCCTGATAATTCGGCGTTCGGCCCGACGCCATGTTACACGTGGTTTCAGTTCGGCACAACCATGTTAGATACCCCAGTGGGTGGCCTGGACACTTGAAAACACGTGGTGCGTGGGTCCAGCGCAGGACTACCATGTTATATACCCCCCTGGGTGGCCTGGACACGTGGAAACACGTGGTACCAGCTCGGGACCAACATGTTAGATACTCACCTGGGTGGCCTGGTCACGTGGTTCCAGTTCGGGACCATCATGTTAGATACCCACGTGAGCGCCCTGGACACGTGAAACGACGTGGTTCCAGCTTGGGAACACCATGTTAGATACACCCCTGTGTGACCTGGACACGGGAAAACACGTGGTACCAGCTCAGGACCACCATGTTGGATGGCCTGGACACGTGAAAGCACGTGGTACCAGCGCGGGACCACCATGTTCGATATCCCCTTGAGTGGCCCGGACACGTAAAAACACGTGGTTCCAGTTCGGGACAACCATGTTAGATACCCCACTGGGTGGCCTGGACACGTGGAAACACTGGTTCCAGCTCGCTCGGGATGTAATTCTTCGAGCAAAATGTGTCCCGCACCCCGTGATTTATCGATCGGGATATCAAAAATATAGCCGGAGTGCAGTATCCCAAAACAAAATTTTTAGACCCATTGCGGTTTCCAAGGTCGATTGCGTGCCCGTCCAGTGCGGGCTGGCATGGCATGTTAAAACATGCCTCCTCCTCCTCCTCCTCCTCCTCCTCCTCCTCCTCCTCCACCTCCTCTTCATCCCGAACGGCATCTCGGAGCCCAGAGTTGCAAGGATGTCTCCAGCGTAACGGGCTGGACCACCTCGCGCGAGGCATTTCGGACCCCAGAGTTGCGACGATGTCTCGGGCGAAACGCGCTGCGAGGAAGTCTCAGGCGAAACGGGCCGGACCACCTCGAGCGCGGCGTCTCAGAGCTCCGCGTTGCGGGGGCCTCCTGGGGCCTCCTGGGACCTCCTGGTGACCTCCTGGGGCTTCCTCCTGGGCCTCCTGTGGCCTCCTGGACCCCACCTGAGGCTTCCTGAAGCCTCTTGGGGTTCCCAGGGGGGATATCTAACATGTGGCCGTCGGGGCCCCTCAAAATGGGAGGGGGCACACGAGCAGGAAAAATCAACTTATCGGCACCGGATGTGTATTAAGTTGACACGTTCTGATAGGGGGCCTCCTGGGGCCTCCTGGGAGCCTCCTGGGAATCTCCTGCGGACCCCTGGGGCCTGTCCTGGGCGTTCTGCGGCCTCCTGAAGCTCTCTGGGGCCTCCTGGGGCCCCCAGGGTCCCAGGGGGAATATGTAACATCTGGTCTTCTGGGCCCCCAGGCTGGGCCACCTCTTGCGCAGCATCTGAGAGCTCAGAGTTGCGAGAATGTCTTGTGCGAAACGGGCCGGACCACCTTGCGCACGGCATCTCAGAGCTCAGAGTTGCGAGGATGTCTCAGCCGAGATGGGCCGGACCACCTCGCGCAGGGCATCTCGGAGCCCAGAGTTGCGTGGATGTCTCCAACGTGACGGGCTGGACCACCTCGCGCGCGCCACCTCTCGCACGGCACCTCGGGGCTCAGAGTTTCGAGGATGTCTCAAGCGAAACGGCCCGGACCACCTCTCGCGCGGCGTCCCAGAGCGCAACTTATCGAGGATGTCTCAGGCGAAACGGCCAATCCCGGCCAACTCAGAAACGAGAGTTGTGAGGATGTCTCAAGCGAAACAACCAAAACCATATATTTTTTTGTGAGGATGTCTCTGCTCCGACTTCCCTCGGCCGGAGTTAGTTTCTACCACAACAGCACCCCGTTCAGCAAGCTGTTTGGGGAACAAGCGTTTCGCTTGGGACATCCTCAGTATTCCCACACCGAATGGGATTTTACCTTGTTGTTTATCGCAAAGAATTTCGCTGGCCAGAACCGGGGGAAACAACACAATACCATAAGAGAACTTTGGGCCCGCGCCATTTCCGGGAAAAGTGGATGGGTCATAGGAGAACACGTTCAAGGGCGACAAGACCTATGTGGGCAAGATCAACTTGATCGATCTTGCAGGCTGCTCGGCGCGAGAAGGTCGATGCGCCTTCGATTCGTTTGTTGACTTGCGTGTCGAGGAAGGCTGGTTCTTCGGTTCGCATGGGCATTCGCGGACATTCGCGCGAACATTCGCGCTGATATCCAGACCTTCGCGCAGAAGTTGCCAGCGTAAGGCCGCGCGTAAGCGCTCTGTTTCCCAGTGAATTTGCGACAATATATAGCGGCTTGCGTAAGCCACCGCGTAAGGTCGCCGGGCCTTTTTCAAATCTCGTCGTTAAATTGCAGCGTGAGGGTCAGCACGAGCCGCGCAAGCTTGGCATCGGTGTCGTTCAGCGAGGTGGGAAGTGCAATCCGAGCTTGGCATCCACGACCGGCAAGCCTGCCTCTGGGGACCCAGCTTGGAACCAGTGTTCCAAGACCCAAGTAGGAGGAGGAGGAGGAGGAGGAGGAGGAGGAGGAGGAGGAGGAGGGGGAGAAGGAGAAGGAGGAGGAGGAGAAGGAGGAGGAGGAGAGGTAGGAGGAAAACTGGCTTGAACGCTACAGCCTACCTGCTAAAGTCCGCCAAACAGTAACAGTAGGAAGAAGAGGAGGAGGAGGAGGAGGAGGTGGTGCAGGTGCAGGTGCAGGTGCAGGTGCAGGTGCAGGTGCAGGTGCAGGTGCAGGTGCAGGTGGAAGAGGAGGAGAAGGAGGAGGAGGAGGAGGAGGTGGAGGTGGAGCTGGATCTGGAGGTGGAGAAGGAGGTGGACGCTGGAAACCACTGCCCCTGGAATGGGTGTCTCTGAGGAGCACGATGGTCCAAGGTGGGGTCCCTAGGGGGCTGCGCCCAGAGCTATGGGCAGCTACGGGCATTGGAGCAGCGGGTCCCAGGGCGGAAGTGGGGAATCGATCCAGAACCCTCTCGGTCCATCGGGGACCAAGGAAAGCCTACAAGTTACGCGCTGTACGTCGGAGGCCACCTGAGTGTTGACTGCAACACGCGGGCGCGTCTTTGGCGCGCCGAGGAGGGAAGGCCAGGAGACCTTTGGAAAAATAGTCGCGCGATCATCAGTCAGCCACGGGATCATCAGTCAGACAAGAAGGATGTTGCTTTTCAGCGCATGCGTTACTTCCAAGCCAGCGCACAGTATCGACGTCATGTGTCGGCGGAGAGCGAAGATGCGTACATCGTACGTTTTTCTGACCCCGTGTTTTTTTGCATGATCTTGAATAACATATGAGTGCCAACCTATCACTCGACAGCGTGCTTCAACAAGCAAGGCAGCACCATCTCAGCAGCCCCGCTCTCCTCAAGCAGTTTGAGTTGATGTTGGAAGTTGTAGCATGCCTGACCCGGCAACTCGTAGTACAGTGTTTGCTCCTGGGAGCCTTGACCAGCTCGTCCTACAAGGAAGGATGTCAAGAGGCCGCCCCATCTAGTGCTCGGACACCACATGCGTAAGAGATCGGCGGTGCAACTGTTTTTGGGGGGGGCGGAGGGGAACTGGTGTCTCGATAGGTGCCTGCAAGGAACACGGGCGCCTCCTCCCTCCCCATGGACTCCCCCGCGGAGCCCCCCCAAAAAATGACCGAGCCTTCGCCGCAGGGCTCCTCCCCCCCCCCCCCGCACGGGCCTCGAGGGTCGAAGCTTCGGGAGCGAGGCTCAGCGATCGGGGGGGGGGGCCTCCGCAGCCCTGCGGCGGACCGGGGCCCGGCGGCTCGGGTTGCGCCCTGGAGAGACCGTCGGTCCGAGGGTGCTCTCCGGGGCTGGTCGGAGGGGCTCTGTCGGGTCGGGCGAAAGGGGGGGATTGGGAAAGGGGGGGTTACGAAATTTGCTGCATGCAGCTGGTTTCGGCCTCACCGAGGGGCCAATTCCTCGATACATGGCCGCTCCCGGCGCCGGGAGGCGCCGGGAAAATCAGCTACGTGAGTTGATTCTCAAACCCCCCCTTTGCTATCCCCCCCTTTCGCCCGACCCGACTCTGAGGTTCGCACATCCCAGGTGTGGTCTGTCAGGGGGGCGGTGAGGAGCAGAGCTCCCCCAGCGTTGGCCAGTCGGTGGCGGTGAGGTTCGCACATCCCACTCGGAGGCGTCCCCAGTGCCTGCTCGCCCCCTGCAGGGGGGACAGTGCCAATCTGATCACCACACGCCAGCACGAAGGAAGGGAGATCCTGAAGGAAGGGGATGCCGTAGATTACTGCTTGTTTGGGGGGCCCTGGGGCCCTCCTGGAGCCTCGGGACATCACGAAACCACTCAGAGTGAAAAGTCGTCCAGAGGGAACACCTTGGGTCCAGAATCCGTTTCCACCAGCAAGTGTTTCCTTCGTGCCAACGCCAGGGGGCTCGCCACTTCCACCTGAGGATCGAGGAGGCGGGATGATCCAGGGTCGAGGAGAGTTTGGACGTGTTGGGGCGGTTTGGATGCTTCTTGGGGGGGGTCATGGGAGGCTCTTTCCCCCGTGGGTCCTCAGCCCCCGCTTCCTCAGGAGAAGTGGTGGCCGCCCTTGGTGGTGACCCCCCACCCCCTGCAGTGCTTGGGCAGGGACGAGTTGCCCCCAGACAGAAGGCGCTTCTGCTGCCCGGTTGTTCGCCGTCGTCGCCACGGAGTCAATGCCAGGACAGGCGAGACACGAGGCGACCGAGTGGGAGCTCCTATTTTGCATCCCGTTGCTTGATGTTCCTCCTCTTTCCTCCCCGTCCCTCTTTCTCGTGGCCTTCCTCGGGAGGACCTGTTCTCGGCGATCCATTTGGGCACCCAGCTTTGCCCCGCAGGCTCGGAGAACACTGGCAAGTCGGGCGTGTCAGGCCAGGGCATGAAGGAGGCGCCGCGTCTTACCCGAGCGTGCGAAGCCCGTGGGTGCAAATTGCAGCAGTCGGACAGAATGCAGCAAACAAGTCTGGGCGCACCTTCGAGCCAGGTCAGGCCCATGGATCTCCAGCTCAAGAAACTACATGGTCACCTACTGGACAGGCGATGTCATACGGTACGGGGCGTTGACTAAGGCATGTGCCCAGGAGGCTCCATACCCTGGAGGAGTCCTTATCTGATGAGGACGGCGGTGGTATCCATGGCCAATCCACAATTGGATTGCCTCCGGCTTCCAATTCCTGATCTAAGAGTTTCCTATCCAATGCCCTCACTATAATGCAGCAAATAAGTCAGGGCGCTTGTTCGAGCCAACGCAGGGCCATGGATCTCCAGCTTACGAAGTCACACTGGGGCGCCTACTGGGAGTGGGCGGGCGATGCCACATTCGTGAAGTGAGTTGTAGATGCGATCGTCTTTCTCGTCTTTTGTCGTCGGCTACGCGACTCGCCCCTCCCCCCATGCGTTCAGGAGCAGTCCAGAGGGTGGACACATCATTCGATCCCCGTTACCCGCGAGAGGTCTTTCATGCTAAGGGCCTTCCCCCTCCCCCTCAGCTCCCGGCTGGGCATAGTCGTCTCTCCCATCCTCGCCCCGCCCTTCCTCGCCCTCCTCGCTCTCCCTCCTCGCCCTCCTCCTCCTCGTGCTCCCCTCATCACCCCGCCCCCCTTCGTCCTCCCCCTCGATGACGACGGCGGTGGCCTCAGCAGTGGCCGCCACGGGGGGGATTCTTTTCCCAACATTGATGTCGGTCGCAATTCGTCAACAATCCCGCGCAAAAAAAAACAGCTACCAGTATAAAAACGGGATTAGCTATCGGCGCCGGCCATGGAAGCGTTCTGGACTTCGTCTACGCGTCACGTGTTGGGACACGAATGTCTGCCAGGAGAGCCAGATAATGAGACAAAGTTTCGAACATTTGCATATGTGCATTTCGCATTTCATGCATGCAGTGGCGTTCGGCGCATCCCGCCACCGTGTTTGTTTGTGGGTGCGAGACGCCATGGAAACATCGTCGGGGGCATCGCGATGTCTTAGAATGTGGGCCTTTTGCGATTCTCCTGGAGGCCTACTCGGGGCCTCTTGGGGGCCTGCAGGGAGCCTCTTTGGTGCATATCGGATGCTCCTCGGGAGCTAATTGGGAGCGTCTGCCAGTACTGGGCCAATCTTGGAGGGGAGGTTTCCAGCGGTTCAGCGGAGGTGCCTTTTTTGTTGCCCTTCTTCGGGGGCAGTCTTGGGGGCCTCTTGGGTCGTCTTGGACGCTCTTAAGACCGACCATGCGAAAATGCTACAACCATACAACACTCCGAATCGGGAGGGGAAAACACGCACACGCACAGACACAAAGAATCGTCGATTCTCCGAACACGGGAAGTGGAGGGAAAGAAGATTTGGGAATCTTGGGACGTGTTTATTTGGGCCCCTTCATCGGAGTGCCAAAGGATAGTGGGCCCTTGGGCCTTCCCCCAAGGCCCGCAAGACGGCCCAAGAGACCGCCATGACGGCTCCGGGAAGGGCCCCGCACATTGCCCCAGAGCACGTGCAAGGGGGTCGGGTCTCGAACCGCGCTCCGGAGGCCTCGGGGGAGAATGAGCGCCCAGCAATCTCATGAGCTGGGCGCCAAGGGCCCTCGACGGGCCCACGGCGTCCTCCACGGCCGCGGACCTGGGAGGGTATACGGAGGAGGAGGAGGAGGAGGAGGAGGAGGAGGAGGAGGAGGAGGAGGGGCCGCAGGAGCAGGAGCAGGCGCGGGACCAGGAGCGGGAGGAGAGGGAGGGCGGAGGAGGGGGGGGAGCACGGAGGGAAGGAGGAGCAGCAGGAAGAGGAGCAGGAGCAGCAGAGCGAGAGCCCGTCATCCACCCCGTTGTTCGGGTCTAGCTTGAGCTTGCTCGTGCTAGATTTCGGTGCAAAACCCGCGAACCCTGCGAGGGAGTGAAGGGAGAGGGGAGTGAAGGAGGACGAAGGGGCGGATAGGATAGGTTGGGGTGGGAGAGGAGCAGCATTGGCAGGAGCAGAGGGAGGCGAGGGAGATGGTTTGGCACCCACAGGTAATTGTTGTTATGCTCGAAGTGTGCCAGATCCCTCTCGACCGCCTCTTACGATCGGTATGTCACAGCGCTCGTCCAAATCAGGCGCGGTGCCCTGGAAGTGGTAGTCTGTGGTTTCACGTCGTTGCGCTGGCAGCCTGCGCGCGCTCCTTCTGGACGACCACGTCGCACATGTGCGCGAATTGTGCAGCCACCAAAGCATGAATGCATGAAGGCCCAGAACATCAACAAGAGCTTGAGCGCTCTCGGAGATGTTATTCAGTCTCTGGAGGGGAGCTGGATGAGCAAACGCATGCAGAGCATTCGCAGGGAGGAAGGCGAGGCATGTTTCGGAGATGCCGATTCTGGCGGCGCTGAATGTGACCCACTTCCTCCCCGACTGCCTCCTGCGAGAGAGGGCATGGCAATCCGACGCGATTTGAATCATCCCTTTTTCTGGCTTTTCGGGTGTCCTGTGATTCCCTCGGCTACGAAATAGATTCCAAACGCTTGAGTGCTAGCGCATTGCCATCGCAGTGAAGACTGGCCACGGGCGTTTCCATTCCAGGGTTTTGCCAGTCCCAAGCAGGCTCGTTTGCTCTCGTCGTCTCTCGATTTTCACGGGCTTCACGGCACCCAGATCAGCCGAACATGGCGCCAAGTGCCATAGTCGTTGTCACGACAATAATGCCGGGCGATGTTGGTTCTGAATCTTTCCATTCTGCCTCCGTTGGAGAATGTTGGCACGCGGCGCCCGCCGCGGCCGACTCTCGCGGGATCCGCAAGCAAGGATGGTACATTTCAACTGTAGATCGGAAGGATGGTTCGAGCGAGTTGACGATTGCGGGAAGGAAGGTGTTTGAACCAAAGAGGTGGTATCCAATGGAGGAGGCACGTGGTCGAGGAGGGGATCCTTCACGGGAGTAGGCCTGCACAGCTTGTTTTGACAGGTGGTCGGACGCAGGGGAGGTGGCAAGAAATCCGCATACGCCGTACAGAAATTCCAAGCTCACGATGATGCTCAAGGAGCCTCTCCTGCGCTCCCCCCTGCATCCTGCGGCTGGAGGAGTGTACTCCAGTTGAACATTGGCCATGCTTCCGAGAAGCTGTGCAGGGGGGGCGTGCACAGCCTTAACCATAACGTTTTCTAACGGCCGCAACGAGCATGTCATTGTCCGTCCTGGAGGCTGCTCACATGCAGAGGCGCAGCCACTACGAGGTATCATATGTGATATGACTGACAGGTGGCGTCGAGGATGGCTCGAAGACCGCTTGGTATGCTATGATAGCTCGAGGCGTTGCGTCGTAGCGGCGCAGTTTCAAGGTAGTTCTGAAGTGCTTGACGCGATACACCACATAATTACTGCATGTAGACGGTCGACGTTCTAGCAATGTTTCCTCCATTCCGTTTTTGTTTGACGAGCTCTGATTGTTTGGGTTTCATTCCAGAGGTCACTTGGGTAGTGAATGTATCCCCCATTCGTGGATCACTCTATCGTGGAGCGGAGAAGGAGTCGGATGATGATGGTGATGATGATGATGATGACGTTGATGATGACGTTGATGATGATGTTGATGATGATGCTGATGCTGATGCTGCTGATGATGATACTGATGATGATGCTGATGATGATGATGATGATGCTGATGATGGTGGTGATGATGATGATGATGATGATGCTGAGGAGGAGGAGGATAAGAAAAAGAAGAAAGGAAATTCACAGAAGGAGGAACAGCAGAAGAATTTGCAGGAGGTTCCCCATGTTTGGGCCAGTCACCTGTTGCTTTGTGGGAGCCCCTCCCGGGAACCCCGAAAAACCAGGGATGCGCCCACCAGTTGTACAAGTGCCCCAATTATTCGTTCAGCTTAGGGCGCTATCATCTTGGCACTCGAAACAGAAAAGGTGGGAGGCGGAGGTAGCGGAGGAGTGGCTCCAGGGAGAGAGGAGTGCAGGGAAGGAGGGAGGGACTAGACGAGGGCAGCGCCCTCCTCCAGCAGAAGCAGTGGGAGGAGGTGCAGGGAAGAAGGGAGGGACTGACTAGAGGAGAGCAACGTCCTCCTCCAGCGGCAGGAGCGGGGACGTGCTACAACAGGCCGGCAATATGACCATCCCTAGCCCGATTCACCTTCCACCACCGTACCTCAAGAGTCCAGCGATTCGACCACCTCCCAAAGCAGCCTCTGCACACAGGTGGCTTGTGGATATCCCACCAGAGAAACGCACACCACAAACGCAGACGACCTTATGCGCACTCTTTCGCTCAAGAGCTCCATCGGCCATACTCGGCGGTCAAGTTGGATCCACGCCAATGCCACGCGGCCACCAGCAGCACGACCAAGAATACCTAACAGAAATAGCTTCACGCAATTTACGACAACAGGAGAACAATCAACGAGTCGAGATCACCATGACGCTCAAAGCTCTACCAATGCCGAAGCCCTGATTTCCGACGGCAGAGCACAAAGCAGCACCAACGCCGAAGCCAAGACTTCCACCCCAAGCACAAGATGGACCAGACTGGGAATACACAGCTGCTTGCAAGTCAGCTTCTACATGGACATAAGTTACCACGTTTTCCCCTCCTCCACCAACTCACAAATGTTGCATTCCGTATATCTCGCGATCTATATATACACAGATATATCATTGTCTGCCCATGCCATCACAGTCACAGGCCAGCCAGCAAGACCTGTGCCAGCCTCTGATGCCGCTCTGACCCTCAGAGATTGTTAACAGTTCATCTTTTATCGGGAAGGGAGGAGGTGTTGGGGTGTGGGCTGCATGGGATCTGCTTGGGGAAGGCAAGACGGATCGTTCGCCAACAGGGCTAGCCCGAGCAGAGCGCGCGCTCTTCCACCGCACCTCAATTCATTATTGTTTTCCCCACATCCAAAGTGGGGTTTTTGTTTTCTCTGCACTCGCCGCGCAGTATCTCACCCCCCCTTTCCTCTCTTTCACACACACACACACACACACTCACCATCATCACCATCGTCATCACCATCAGCCGCCATCATCGTCATCACACGCACACACTCATCATCATTACCATCATCATCGCCATCAACCACCATCACCGTCATCACGACTCATCATCACAATCTTTCATCACTACTCATCACCCTAATCCTCATCATCATCATCGCCACCATCGTCACCACTCGATCACCCACCCACTCACTCAATTACCCACTCATGCTCAGTAGGCTTCGGAGGCAGTAGTCTTCCGACGGCAGGACCGCCGCCACTCTCAACATCATCGTCACCATATCCATCATCATCTCTCGACCACCCACTCAGTGGCCACCATGATCATCATCAGCACCATCATCATCATTCATTCATTCATTCATTCATTCATTCATTCATTCATTCATTCACTCATCATCATCATCATCATCATCATCGTCATCATCATCATTCACCCACTCATCATTTCGTCATCACTCACCCCCTGGCTTGAATATGGAGGTAATATCAGGCGGGAGCCTCGTCTGTGAGTGAATTGTGACGAAGTCTCAGGCGGGAGCCCCTCCCTACGGGGCCCGCACCTCATGTTTTTTATCCGAGGTGAGTCATCCGAAACGTGTAACTGTCGTCACTTTTGGGCCCCTGTGGCGTGAATCTGGAGGAAATATCAAGCGGGAGCCTCGTTTGTGAATGAACTGCGACGAAGTCTCAGGCGGGAAGCCTCTCCCTATGGGGCCCGCGCTTCACGTTTTTAATCCGAGGCGGGTCATCCGGAACGTGTAACTGTCGTCACTTTTGGGCCCCTGCGGCGTGAATCTGGAGGAAATATCAAGCGGGAACCTCGTCTGTGAGTGAATGGCGACGAAGTCTCAGGCGGGAAGCCTCTCCTTATGGGGCCCGCACTTCACGCTTTTAATCCGAGGCGGGTCATCCGGAACGTGTAACAGTCGTCACTTTTGGGCCCCTGCAGCGTGAATCTGGAGGAAATATCAAGCGGGAACCTCGTCTGTGAGTGAATTGCGACGAAGTCTCAGGCGGGAAGCCTCTCCCTATGGGGCCCGCACCACACGTTTTTAATCCGAGGCGGGTCATCAGAAACGTGTAACTGTCGTCACTTTTGGCCTCCGGAGGGCTTGAATAAGTAGGATGTATCAGGCGGGAGCCTCGTCTGTGAGTGATTCGCGAGGAAATCACAGGCGGGAGCCCGCCGGTCTGTCCCCGCGGGAGTCCCCGCGCTGAGCCAGCTCGAAGCATGCGAGCTGGAGCTGAGGCGCCGGAGGAGGAGGAGGAGGAGGAGAAGGAGGAGGAGGAGGAGGAGGACGAGGAACAGGAATTGAGGAGGACGACGGAGGGCGGCGCAGGGGGAAACCCTTGCGTCCGGGCCGGGGGTGGTAACCCATCCTCGGCCGAAGCGGCGGCCGGGCGCAGGGGGAAACCCTTGCGTCCGGGCCGGGGGTGGTAACCCATCCTCGGCCGAATCGGGGGCAGGGGTAGCCCATTGTCTCCGCGCCGCCGGTGGTAACCCATCGGCGGCCGAATCGGGCGCACGGGTAGCCCGTTGCGTCCGGGCCGGGGGTGGTAACCCATCCTCGGCCGAATCGGGGGCAGGGGTAACCTCTTTTTTCCGGGCTGGCGGTGGTAACCCATCGTCAGCCGAATCGGGCGCAGGGGGGAACCCTTGCGTCCGGGCCGGGGGTGGTAACCCATCCTCGGCCGAATCGGGGGCAGGGGTAACCCTTTGTCTCCGGGCTGGCGGTGGTAACCCATCGTCAGCCGAATCGGGCGCAGGGGGGAACCCTTGCGTCCGGGCCGGGGGTGGTAACCCATCCGATGACGATGATGATGTTGACGATGTTGTTGATGATGATTGTTGATGATGATGATGATGTTGATGGATGATGATGATGATGATGATGATGATGATGATGATGATGATGATGATGCTGATGCTGATGATGATGCTGATGATGACGATGATGATGATGATGGTGGTGATGATGATGATGATCATACGGATTTTGCTGCTGATGATGACGGCGACGATGATGATGATGATGGGCTCCTGAGGGTCGGTCTTCGGAGTCCCTCTAGGCCTTCTTGGACACTCTTGAAGTGGAGGAGGAAGGGAAGGTGGAGGAGGAGGAGGACCAGGAGGAGGAGGAGGAGGAAGAAGCGGGGGGAGGAGGGGGGAGGAGGGGAGGAGGAGGAGGAGGGAGAGGAAGAGGAGGGAGGAGCCCTTCCTCTTCGGAGATCTGGGAGCCTGCGTAGAGGCTTCACTGCGGCGGCGCTCGGCTCAAGCGAGGCTGCGCCGAGCGTTTTCGGACTTGCGCTTCCTGGGTCGCTGGACCCTTGTTTTTTCTACTCCCTCGGCGGCCATGTCGATGCCGCCGCAGCAGGCCAACACCCTCAACAAGAGGGAGCGGAAGCGGCAGCGGCGGGCGGCAAGCCCCCGCGTGGCCCGGCTCCGCGCTGACTTCGAGGCGCGGGCGGCGCAGGAAACACAAGGCGCCAACGGCGAGGGCGGCAAAGGCGGCTGGGGCGCTGCCCCCGCCGGGAACGCAGGCGCCAAGGGCGAGGGCGGCAAGGGCTGCTGGGGCGCTGCCCCCGCCGGGAGCAAAGGCGCCCAGAGCGAGGGCGGCAAGGGCGGCTGGGGCGCTGCCCCCGCCGGGAGCAAAGGCGCCAAGGGCGAGGGCGGCAAGGGCGGCTGGGGCGCCGCCCCCGCCGGGAGCAAAGGCGCCAAGGGCGAGGGCGGCAAGAGCGGCTGGGGCGCTGCCCCCGCCGGGAGCAAAGGCGCCCGCGCCAGCGCCAGCCGCCGCCGGCGACGGTGGCGCCAGCGCCAGCGGCCCCAGCGCCGGCGACGGCGTTGAGCACGGCAAGGGGGCCGAGAAGGGGAAGGGCAAGCGCCTCTTGCCCCCCGAGCTGCTGCCCGAGGACGACCAGAAGCGAGCGACCGCGGCTGCAACGAAGGAGGAGCGAACGGACTGGCCACGGAAACTTGCGCTGCCATTTGTCTTGCGTCGGTCGCGTCGGTCGCATGGCGAGCATTGGTTGCCCTGTCTTTGCGCCGCGCGGTTCGCATTGCCTGCGCTGCTTGCATTGCTCGCATGGCCCGCATTGCGCGTTGAGTTTCTGCGCTCAGTTCGGTCGACCCAAGGGGGGCACGGCGACCTCCTCGACGCGATCAGGTTCACGAACAAGAAGACGGAGAAACCTGGGGCCAAGGCCATCGGTGACATAATTAGAATACGTATCAGATTTCCAGGTCTGCCACGTGCTTTTTCAAAATAGCCAGGGGCGCCGCGGCGGTTCCTCGATTCGGTTTCGTTTTGAGAGGCCGTCCAGGTGCGCCTCGCGCCCCAGGCGCGCCAGGGGCGCCACGTGCGCTCGGCGTCGAAAATTCTGTCGCCGACGAGGCCCTGGCGCGGTGGCGCTCGGGCGCTCGCGAGTCCACGAAGAAGCTGCTCGTCGCCCCCCAGGACCTCGACTACGACTGGTGGAGGACGACAGCGACGCTGACACAGCAGGAGGCCGAGGTCATGGAGGCCCGCCGCGATCGGTTTCGGTCGACCCTCCTCGCCGACGGCGCCCCCGCGACGTTCGCGTCGCTCGAGCGGGGGGCGAATGGACCCGGGGCGAGTTCCCCGGGCAGAACGCAGCCGGGCCGCCCCGCGCCCTCAGATACGAGGAGGGCGGCTACTACGCGCGCGCCGTGAGCGGGCTGCAGGTGCGCTCGCCGCCGCGGGTCACGCTCGCAGAAGCGGGGGTCCGCTGAGAGAAGTCGCCGCCGCCGGCCACTGCGCCGCGCCGAGGCGATGGGCCCTCGCAGCTGGGCGACCTCCTCTCCCCAGCGAGAGCGCCAGCCGACGCCAGGGCGGGGGGCGGGGGGGAGAGGGGGAGGAGGAAGAGGAGGAGGGGGAGGGGGAGGAGGGGGAGGAGGAGGAGGAGGAGGAGGGGGAGGAGGAGGAGCGAGAGGAGGAGGGGGGGAGGAGGAGGAGGAGGAGGAGGAGGGGGAGGAGGAGGAGGAGGAGGAGGAGGAGGAGGAGGTGGCTGCACCTCCTACGTCATATTTTCCCGTGCCACGCGCATGCGGAACATGCTGATCCTGCGGCCGCCCGCGCGAGAGTTCCTGGGGCGCGGGCCGCCGGCGCCCCCGCGGAAGGCGCTCCACGAGTTCGACAAGAGAGCGGTGGACTCCAGGGCCGTGGCGGAGCGGCTCACGGCAGAGCTGGGCCTCGCGCTGCCCCCCGCCCAACGCCGCGGCGCGCACTTGGAGGCCCGCGGGGTTGTCCCAACGGTCTGGCCCGCGGGGTTGCCCCGACGGCCTGCCCTCGCGCCCAGGCGGCCCGCGGGATTGCCCCAAAGGCATGGTTGGCCCGAAGGGCTGTCCCGACGGCTTCGCGATCTAGCCGTCGGCAAACGCGCGCGCGCTGGCCGAGTCGGCGACGGCCCCGAGGAAAAACGACTTGCTTCCCCCGACCAGGGGGAAGGGGAGGTGCACATGGAGAAGAGGCAAAAGGAGGATGAGGAGGGAAGGGGTAGGGGGAGGGCGATGATGAGGCGGAGGTGAAGAAGGAAGAGGAGGATGAGAAGGAGGAGAAGGAGGGGGAGGGGGAGAAATGGAAGAAGGAAGAAAAGAGGGCTGAGGAGAGGGCGAGAGGGGGGTGTTTGCCATGGCCGGGAGGAAAGGGATAAGGGCAAGCTGAACAGATTATCATGCGGGGTCTTTCCGTCACATTTCTACAACGAGCACGGGGGACCCGGTACCGAGGAGGTTTGGAGTGAACCGACAAAAGTTTGGGCAGCAGCCCATGAATTGCAGCATGCATTTGGCACATAAGTGTGCTAATTGTTTTGCCACGGTTTTGACATTTTCCGGCACGAGTCACAGGTCTTATACATATAAGGACGGCCAATACCATCGGAGCCAGCCTCGAACTCAGCCGCAGCCACATCCAGCCGCAACCAGATGATAGTTTAAACTTGGCACGGCACTGTCACCAGCTTGGGCCAAGTATGTTGCAAGCCCCAGTCTCTTCATTTTCCTTCAGTTTAACGCAACACAGTTCAGTACCGCCGCAGCTTAGGCCAGCCATCACGCATGCGCAAACCTCTTCACACAGACGACCGGGTAGCGGGGCTGGTTTTTAATCAGTTTTGTTTCTCCGGGGGAACGAGGGACACGCAGCATTAGATCGGGCGCCCTTGGACTACAGGGCGCTGTCCCGCCGCAGTTTAGCTTCCAGACGCGGATACCAACACCACTCAGTATTAGACGACATGCAAGTTCAAGGCCAAAGGCCAGCCAGCACCACCTGCGCCAGCGTCACCGTGGCAAGCTGACATCGAGACTTGATATCGCTGAGACCAGCCTCTCAACAAATGCGGACCTTGCAGCCTTCCATACGGAGTTAGCACGCTTCAAGCACAGTCACATCCGATGAACGTGCAGCCAGTACCGACCTGGCCAGCCGACAAGCAGATTTAACTCAGCCGGGCAGCCGCCATGCCATCACATTCGAGTTTTGCACTTTCGTTGCTTGATCATATATGTGTGCCCCTTTTTCAGGCTTCAGCGCAAAATGTGTCCATTCATAGTTGCTGGTGATGGCCACTTCGGCATGATAGGGCGTGGGTTTCAGGGACTACCCCACTGTGGACTACTGACCACAGCACCCTTTGGTAGCGCCACCTCGCTCACTGTTAAAGTCGTCGCCTGCTTTATTGTTTCGCCATCCTTCTTGTATCCTGTAGCACGCCCACGTTGTTGTGTTGCATACCTTGCCCAATTATGGTGGTGGTGGGGAGGAGTTAGATTATGGAGGGGGACTTACCCAGCGGCGCAGCTTACTCGTGAGGTTTTGCGCATTGGGGTCTAACAACAAACCTTGACAAGACAACTGTGCACCTTAGTACTGTGCACGTGTAGCTCGTTCCCTCTGAGTCGGTGTTCCCCTTTTCCTCGGTTTGTTCTTGGGCACTGCTTCCCCCTCCACATCGGCGGCAGGCACCCTTAATTACTCTACGTCTTTCTGGTTACTCAGACCGTAGACGCGCTAACGGCGATGTAAGTAACGGCGTGTAGTCTCGAGCGCACCCCTCCCCTTCTTTCTCCTTCTTCCTCCTCCTCCCCTAACCGTGTTTTGTATCCCGCATTGCATGTATCCAGACAAGCCAGGATTCGCGAGGCCACGGCCTCACTCACAGTGGCCGCATCGCATCGCACCGCCCATGCATGGAGGCTGGCGAAGACCCCCGGCGCGGCCGCCTGTGGGCCCTCGACCCCTCTGGCCGTGGCGCGGAGGACTCCCTGGGCGGCAACTCGAAGACGCTCATGATCGTGTGCTGCTCGCCCGCGCAGTACAACGTGAGTGAGCCCAGCCGCGGTCGCCTCTCTCTGTATCTGCCCGCCGGCGGGGCGGGGGCAGACGCGGGCGACCTCGGGGGAGGGGATGAGGAGGTGGAGGGGCAGTGGGAGGAGGACGGTCGTCTTCGCTCCACGGGAACGGTTCTCGCAATGGGAGGGATAGGGGGAAAGAGAGAGAGAGAGAGACAAACAGATAGACATGGAGGGAGAGAGAGAGAGAGAGGGAGACAGGGAGAGAGACAGACAGACAGGCACAGAGACAGACAGACAGACAGACACAGACAGACAGGCAGACAGACAGACTCACAGACACACGGACGGACGGCCAGACAGACAGACAGAACGAACGGTCCAAGAAAACCCCAAGTCTGCCCAAGACGGACCCAAGATTGCCCGAGATGCCCTCAAGGCTGCCCAAAGAGCTCCAAGATGCCCCCAGAGGGCCCCACGAGGACCCTCACGATGGCTTCAAGAGGCCAACATTATTGATTTCGTCCAGGCTGCCGAAGCATTTCGAAGCATTCGTGCTTTAGAGCTTCAGGGCTCCCAGGACGGCCCGAAAGGCCCCCGAGATCGAGACTGCCCAAGAGACCCCCGAGAGGCCCCCAAGGTGGCGCGATAAGCCCCCCCCCAGGAAGCCCCCAAGACGGCCCTGGAGTGGGTAGTTGTGCCCGCCCCCTCGCATTCCCTCCTTCCCGAACTGTCGTTCCCCTCCTCCTTCATCTCCCTCTCCTGTCCCCTCCGGCGGGGGAAGGGGCCGCTCACCAAAATACCATCCCCCTGGCGGACCAGGGCGAAGACAAAGGGGCATCGGGGGCAGGGAGAGAGGCGGGCAAGTAGGGGGGGGGCCTGGAAGGGTCGGGCGACAGGGGGGGGATCTTGGAGAGAGGGGGGGGGGGGGTCGGGCGACAGGGGGGGATCTTGGAGAGAGGGGAAGGGGCCGCTCACCAAAATACCATCCCCCTTGGCGGCCCGGGGCGAGGACAAAGGGGCATCGGGGGCAGGGAGAGAGAGGCGGGGAAAGCAGCCGGGGAGCCTGGAAGGGTCGGACGACAGGAGGAGGAGGAGGAGGAGGAGGAGGAGGAGGAGGAGGAGGAGGAGGAGGAGGAGGAGAGGAGGAGGAGGGAGGAGGGAGGAGGAAAGAGGAGGAGGAGGAGGAGGAGGAGTAGGAGGAGGCGGAGGGGATTTTTTGGAGAAGGGGGGGGGGGGGGGGGGGTGGGGGGGGGGGAGGGGGACGATGTTGCATGCAGCGGGTTTCGGCCCCGCCGCGGGGGGCCTTCCTCGACACTCGGGTGCCTCCCGGCGCTGGGAATGCCAGCTGCGATGGCCGACTCGCTGCCCCACCCTCTCGAGCGGAGGGGCGGCGGCGGGGAGGGGGGAGGGGGGCAGAGGCAGCAGGCGCCCCTGGCGGTGTTCGCCTCCCCTTCCCACCCCAAGCGACTGGCGGCATCGGCGGCGCCTTCCCCGTGCAGCCCCCCCCCCCCCCCCCGCGGTCTTCCTGTGCCTGCTCTTCCCGGAGCTCAGGCGACCGCAGACACGGATCACGGGGCGCGGATTCGCGACGGGTCCCGCTTCCAGGGGAAGTCGCTGATTTCCGCCGTCGAACGAGGCGGCACCCGCCGCATTTGGGGGAGGGCCTCTTCCCCGATCCATGGATTTGTCGACCGCGCGCCAAATCCATGGATCGTTAATTCGTGTCTGCGCGCCCCCGAGGAACGGGCACTTACGGGCCGCCCCGTGCGCAGCACTGGGAAAGGGGGGGGGTTAGGCGAGCGTGCTCCCCATGCCCACGCCAGTGCAGGCGAGACCATGAGTTCGCTGAACTTCGCCTCGCGCGCCAGGAATGTGGAGCTCGGCAAGGCTTCGGGATGGGCTGGGCGTCCTGCGACCCCACTGCTATCGTTCGCGGGCCTCTACTCCGCCCCTCTGTCTGCCCACTGTCATCATGTTTTTTACACGTTCTGTGTCGCGGCTCTCCACTTCCATTCCGTTCACCGCTTGATCTCCCTTCCCATTATATCCCCGTTGTCTCACCTTGCCTCGTCCGCGCTTGTCATGCCATTCGGATGCAGCTCAGAAATTTGATGATATCGTTGAGCGGATGTCCGCTCGCGCAGTCCCATCAGTAGCACCAATAGTTCAGCATGCTCAGCACAACGGCACAGGAGCCTGATGCTGGACGAGGCATGTCCCTTGCATATCAAAAGCAGACGTCTGGCCGTCCTGCGACTGAGCAATAAGCGCGAGTGTGAAGATGAGGAAGATCCTGTAGAGCGAGTGGTTCACCCCTATTGGTTGTCCCGTCGCTTGCCACTGACTTCAATCCTGCGGCAACCTGCCCTGCTCATCCACTCTCCTCCTCCCTCGCCCTCTCCTCCTCATCCCTCCTACAAGGGCGCCCTCCAGGGCGCGAAGTTCGTCGCGCCTTTCGCTTCGCGGTTCGGCTCCGATTTCTCCTCATCCTCCTCTTCTCCGCTGGGGGGCGGCGCGAGAGCGCGAAGTTATTCGCGCAGCGCGAAGCGCGAAGTTAGGCGCCCTTGCTCCTACGTCTATGGGACCCCTCCTGGAGCCCATCCCGGCCAGGACTTCGGGGCGGATCCGGCCGCGTCGACGGGGGCTTCTCCCAGGAGGCCCCCACCAAAAGCGACTTGCATCAGGAGGCCCCCTCCGCCATCACCCCGCCTCAGTGAGAGGCACGCTCGGCTGGAGGCGCAGGAGGGCAGCAAGCTCTGCGCCGACGCGGACCCGTTTGTGCCGGTGGGCTGCGACTGGCTTTCGTGCGAGGCCCCCCACGGCATGTGGCTCGCTCCTGGGGTTTGGGAGGCTCTGCCGACCGACGACGGCGCTCATCAGGCTGGTGCTGGCGCATGTGTGGGTCGGCCGCAGTTCGGGGGCTCCATCGCCCCCACAGTGCAATTCTCTGACGTGGACTGCATCGTTGGTTCCTCCGCCTCCTTCTCCGCGCCCCCCGTCAACAGCGGCCAGCGAGGAGGGGTTCGGCTTCTGCCAGCGAGGAGGGGTTCGGCTTCTGCCAGGTTTCGTACCGTGGGGTCCCACCCCCCACGGCTGATGGCCCTGTGGGTGGGGCTGGGCTTGCTTTCGACGATTGGGACGACGACGACGCCACGATGTCCACGCACGCGGACACCTGCCCCGGCTCGTGGCCCAGTGGCGCTCGGAGGCCTTCCCCGCGGCAGTACGGCAGCTGTAAGCGAGCCGTGCGGCTCCGTGGCACGTCGTCCAATTTCGCTGAACATGCTCGTGACGATCAGCACTCGGAAATGCACGACACGGACTGCAAGCACGTGTGGTGGCTGCATTCTTCGTGTGTTTGTATGTGCACTTCGCGACCTTCCTGCTCCGCACGGTGATGGCCGCCACGGTTCGGGTGCCTCCTCTTGTCGTGCAGCTCCGCTTTGCTGCCGCTCCTTGGCCCTGTCTTCGCGGAGCTCGTGGAGTTCGGTGAAGTGGCCGCCCCCCAGTCGCTGGGGCGGCGTGCGTGTGCTTTCGCTGTTAATGTTGAAAAATCCTCTTCCCCTCCGCTTCCCCTTCTTCCTCGCGAGCGGGGCACACTACAACCAGAACGACAGTTTTCAACCGAGATGGGGCACTTTTAGAAGCAGCATGGATTTCCCCAGAAGGGCACTTCACAACCAGGAAGGTTATTGCACAACCAGGCAACTCAACACATATTAGAGACAAATGCGCTGCACTGTCCGAAATTCCCGTGGGCCCACGTAAGGGAGGCAATTCGTTAATTGAAGCGTGTCAGTTGTAAAGTGCCTCGCCTGAAGGAAAAATCTAGAGTAGCGAATTCCGATTGAGATCCATATATTGGTACATTTCCGATGTTGATCATATTAGCACCATATGAACCCGTTGAAATCCGGTCGGGTTCCTTGCTCTGGGACCGATTGGTGTCCTATTGGCATCCTATAGGGATGCTTCCTATTGAAAAGGGTCCTTCCGAATGGGAACTGGATGGGAACCGACTACAATCGGGGAACCTCCCTGGTGGAAGATTGCGGGAAACGTATTGAAATCCTACAGTGAAGCCCGATGGGGATATTATTGGAAGCCTAGTGGAACCATACTCTCGAATACTAAACATAATCGGCCCACGAGCCTGGAAAGGAGTATAGAATCGTAAGGCATGGCAGCGTTTCAAATATTCTTGAATGGGTGACGGGCAAATGCAAAGCTGAGTGCATCGATCTTAATGTACCTTGCCCAGGGCTGTGCTGTGCTGCGCCGTGCTGAATTACGATGTGCCATGCCGCGATTGTGCTCCATAGCGTTGTGGAACGAGTCCTCCTTTGCATCCGAGTCCTGACTGAACTGATCTGGAACTTAAGCTCGAGCTGCCTGAGCACATGGTAGCTGCCCCAGAGCTAATTGACAGGGGAACATGCCAGGAGGACGCGCAGCGGAACGTCCCAAGGGACGCGCCACGCGACGTGCCAGGGGACGTGCCACGGGGACGCACCGCGGGACGTGCCAAGGGAACGCGCCAGGGAACGTGCCAATGGATTTGCCACGGGACGTGCCAGGGGACGCGCCGCGCGACGTGTCAGGGGGATTCGCCACGGAACGTGCCAAAGAACGTGGCACGTTGCAATGCTGAGTGTCTTGATCTTGATGTACCGTGCCCAGGGCTGTGTTGTGCTGCGCCGTGCTGAACTGCGGTGTGCCATGCCGCGAGTGTGCTGTGCTGCATAGCGTTGTGGAACGAGTCCTCCTTTGCATCCGAGTCCTGACTGAACTGATCTGGATCTTAAGCTCGAGCTGCCTGAGCACATGGTAGCTGCCCCAGAGCTAATTGACAGGGGAACATGCCAGGAGGACGCGCCGCGGAACGTCCCGGGACGCACCACGCGACGTGTCAGGGGACGTGCCACGGGGATGCACCGCGGGACGTGCCAAGGGAACGCGCCACGGAACGTGCCAATGAGTTTGCCACGGGACGTGCCAGGGGTCGCGCCGCGCGACGTTCCAGGGGGATTCGCCACGGAACGTGCCAAAGAACGTGGCACGTTGCAATGCTGAGTGTTTTGATCTTGATGTACCGTGCCCAGGGCTGTGCTGTGCTGCGCCCTGCTGAACTGCGGTGTGCCATGCCGCGATTGTGCTCCATAGCGTTGTGGATGGAGTCCTCATTTGCATCCGGGTCTTGACCAAACTGATCTGGATCTTAAGCTCGAGCTGCCTGAGCACATGGTAGCTGCCCCAGAGCTAATTGACAGGGGAACGTGCCGGGAGGACGCGCCGCGGAACGTCCCAAGGGACGCGCAACGCGACGTGCCAGGGGACGTGCCACGGGGACGCACCGCGGGACGTGCCTAGGGGACGCGCCACGGAACGTATCGGGGACAAGCGTTTCGTTTGAGACATCTTGGCTAAATCTTCATGCTAGACATCCGCTTGGGCGACCTGGACACTTGCAAACAAGCGTTTCGCTCAACAGATCCTCAACACATTCTTATGCTAGACATCCGCCTGGGCGAATTGGACACGTGAAAACCAGTGGTTTGGTCGAGGCATCAACGCATTTTCATGTTAGACGTCCGTTCCAGGCCCACGGGAAGGCCCATGCAAGATACCCCCCAGGTAGCCTGGACACGCTAAAGCAATTGGCTCCGCCATGTTAGATACCCCCTGGGCGGCCTGGACACGTAAAACCACGTGGAGCCAGCTCAGGTCAACCATGTTAGATACACCCCGGGGTGGCCTGGACACGTTAAAACACGTGGGACCAGCTCTGGGCAACCATGTTAGATATTTCCATAGGTGGCCTGGACACGTTAAATCACGTGGGCCTTGCTCAGGACAACCATGTTAGATATCCCCTTGGGTGGCCTGGACATCGAATAACACGTGGTGCCAGCTCGGGTCAACCATGTTGGATACACCCCTAAGTAGCCTGGACACGCTAGAACACGTGGTCCTTGCTCTCGACAATTATGTTAGATACCCACTTGGGTGGCCTGGACACGTAAAAAACACGTGGCTCAAGCTCGGGACAACCATGCTAGATATCCCTTTGGGTGGCCTGGGCATGTAAAAACGCGTGGTCCTTGCTCGGGACAGCCATGTTAGATGCCCCCTCTGGGTGGCCCGGACACGTTAAAACACAAGGTTCTTGCTCGGGACAACCATGGTAGATATCCCCTTGGGTGGCCTGGACACGTAAAAAAACGTGGTGACAATTCAGGACAACCATGTCAGATACCCCCCTGCGGGGCCTGGATACGCTGAATTCGCACCTCCGCTCGAGACATCCTCGCAATGTCTTCCCTGGAGAGGCCCCAAAGCGACATCCCCTGTCCAGAGCAAGAAAGCATCACTTTTCTGTATTGGGATATGTGTTCGGGTAGCGCGGTTCGGCCCCCCGTGTGTTTCTTGATATTCGGCGTTGGGCCCGACGCCATGTTAGCTCCCTGGGCGGCCTGGACAAGTAAAACCACGTGGTTCCAGTTCGGGACAATCATGTTAGATACCCCACTGGGTGGCCTGGACACGTTAAAACACGTGGATCCAGTTCTGGGCAACCATGTTAGATCCACCCTTGGGTGGCCTGGACACGAAAAACCACGTGGTGCCAGCTCGGGACAGCCATGTTAGACACCCTTGAGTAGCCTGGACACGTTAAAACACGTTGTGCCAGCTCCGGGCAATCACATTACGTACCCCTTTGGGTGGCCTGGACACGCTATAACACGTGGTCCTTGCTCGGGACAACCATGTTAGATATCCCCTTGGGTGGCCTGGACACGCAGAAACACGTGGTGCAAACTAGGGACAACCATGTTGGATACACGCCCGAACAGCCTGGACACGTGAAAACACGTGCTCCTTGCTCGGGACAACCATGTTAGATACCCCCTCTGGGTGGCCTGGACACGTAGAAACACGTTGTTCCAATTCGGGACAATCATGTTATATACCACACTGGGTGGCCCGGACATGTAAAAACATGTGTTTCAGCTCGGGGCAACCATGTTAGATACCCCCTGGGTGACCAGGGCCCTCGTGGGACCTCCTGGAGAGGGCCAATCTAGGGGAACACACGTAAAAACACACGGATTCGTGCCCCTGGAGCAGGCCAAGATATGGGAACAAAAGTAAAAACACACGGACTCGTGCCCCTGACCCACATGTGTCCCGCACCTTCTGTTTTATCGATCGGAATTTCAAAAATCAGCGTTTCTTTCGGGACATCCTCAAATGTTCATTCCCCGGCCCTGCGCGACTTTGTTTTTTATCGTAAATAAACTCGCCAGCCCGTCGCAAGTAAAGACCCGGCCTTTGGTAACAAAACTGAACGAGAACCTTGGGCCGATGCCCTTTCTGGGAAAAACATCTTGAAATCCATTTGGATGTTTCCCTTTTCGATTCATCTGGGGATACGAGTAGTACCCCGATCAGGAACTAAGTTAACCCAATCCAGCAAGAACCCTT